TCTTTAAGGGATTTTCTTGTTTCCTCTTTAAAGGTCTCTATCATCTTGGAGAAAAATTTTGGGGTTCATCTCATCTTCATGCTCTGTGTTGGGCTTTTCAGATCTTGCTGGAGTGGAGTCCCTAGATTCTGGTGGTGTCATATTGGTCTTTCTGTTGTTGAGTGAAATCTTATTCTGTCTTCTTCCCATATCTTCTTTTAGTGGGTGCAGGTGGGGTCTCTCTATCTCCTCTTGTGACCCAGTGGTGTGTGGGGACCAGGAATTCAATGTTCACAACTCTGGATGGTCTTGCCTCTCTTGGTAGTCTCCTCACTAGTTCTGGGTCGGTCGGCAGAATGGAAGAGTGGGGTGCTAGCAGATTCAGGGAGCAGGGAGTTCCTCCCTGCCTGGGTAGGTCTACTCCAAGCTGGCAGGCGCAGGCGGGGGCGGGGCGCTAGTTCCTGGGTCAGTTAGCAGAATGGTGTGTTGGGTCTTTTAATTTGCTTTAAAATTGCTATTGATTTGGACTTTGAAACCATCAATAATCACTAGTCCCACCTATCTGTGTGGTATTTTGATTGTGTCTGACGTGACAATTTTAATTTCACTTCATAATATAGGCATCAACTTTAGGAACAGGAAATTGTTGTGAATTTAAATTGTAGTATATCTGAATGCTACAGAAATTTAAAGTCTCTAATTGTACTATGCTACCAAATGGCAAAAGAAAATTATAAACAATCCTAGTAGCATGTCAACTATTAGTATATATCAGATATTTGCATGAACACTCTATAACAGTTCTCAACCTGTAGGTTGTAACTCCTTTGGGGGGTCAAACGGCCCTTTCACAAGAGTCACATATCAGATAGCTTGCATGTCAGATATTTATATTATGATTCATAACAGTAGCAGAGTTATAGTTATGAAGTAGCAATGACAATGATTTTATGGTTGGGGGTCTGCACAACATGAGGAATTGTTAAAGGTGGCAGTATCAGGAAGGTTGAGAAGTACTGCTCTAGATCTATACCACAGTGGTTACCACTGTTCTATGTATGCTTTCCTTTTTTATTAGGAATTTTTAAGGACCATTTATTTTCTTCCATATCTTCTGCATTGAGTAAGTGCTGATTTTGCAATTGAGGCAATCTTTTTTTTTTTTAACTTTAAAAGTACTTGAAGTTATTCACCTATTAAGAGATGGGGCTAGGATTTGATTTTTATTATCTTAATTTATTGCTCAATTAATTTCATCCTAACAAATATTTACTGAACATCTATGATCAGTCAGTCATCATATATTACCAGTTGGCGTTAAATTGACACAGACAACAGAATAGTATGGGAGATGCCCATTGAAGCAGAAAATATAAATTTAGGAATTTTAACAGTTGTTGACAAAGAAAAGATCAAGTTTTTATCAGTTTGCAAAACATGGATATGTCCTGGAATAGTGTCCTGTAAAGGCCCCCTTAACAGCTGTCACTTAGACTGTCCTAAAGGAGACTGAGCAGAGGTCTGTCTGCCCTGTCACTTAAAATGAGAATCCGGGACTAGAAACAGCTCTGTGACAGATTGCTGCTTAATGTGCAATTTCTTGTAAAGACTGCTTATTTTTCTAAATCATATTTATCTAGTGTGTGTGGGTGCCTGCATATCACAGTTCACATGTGGAAGCTGAGAACAATTTGTAGACTCTGGTTTTGCCATGTGTGTCCCAAGGTTGGAACTCAGGTGACCAGGCCTGATAGCAAGTTCGTTTACTTGCTGAGCCATCTCACTGGCCCCAGAATTTTTAATGTCTTAAGAAGAGTGACGGAGAAAGAGCATAGCACATAGAGTCAGATTTTATCTAAACCTTTGCTACAAGTGCCCTGACATTCCTGGGATGTAAGCTTGCACTGTAGAAATAGAAGCACTGACCAGAGGCCATCTGCAGTTTTCACCATGGATTTTTCATTTCTCTAGTACAATCAATATTTGCTTAAGACCCATAATATGTGTAGTAATCTATTGTTTCCCCATTTAGCATTAAATATGGATCTCTATTAGCCTTGAACACTAATCAGTATCATTTCATTTATTACTATTATCAATGCCAGGTTTCAAAGGTCATGAGATAACATTTCTGATATAAGGTACTATTATCCTGTTTATAGGATGAGCGATATGATACATCGTAGAATGAAGATGCCCTGGTTTTGGTTTGACCTTTGGTACCTTATGTTTAAAGAAGGACGGGAACACAGAAGGGGACTCAAGAGGCTACATACTTTCACCAACAATGTAAGTTGTGTGAGTGCGTTTGTGTGTATGACACTGTGTGCGTGTGTTAAAATATACAAAGCATAGAATCAAGTGAAATTAAATGACTTCACAATGTTGTGCAGTTATTACCAAATACTAGAATATTCCTAACTCTAGGATTTTTATGTTTTTTAAAATATACCCAAATGTAGGACCATGGAGTAGAATATTTGTTTCATAAAAGTTAAATAAAATAGTAATGCCAAAAATGATCAATTACATTTAAATTACATATTCAGCTGGCATTAGTGAAATATTTGCTGAGTGTCATGCACTGCACCCAGTGTTGGAAATAGAGAAATTAATTAGACAAGCATGTCCCCCCCCCCATATTAGAGAACAGTCTAGGATAGAAGGTTACCCATAATCAAAATTACAGAATTTTCTATAGATTTAGAACACTTATTAACAAACAGGGTTCTGGATGGAGGAGGAAAGGGGCAGAGATCTGTGCACATGTCTCTTGGGAAATGTTTTGGGAAGGCAGTAGTTCTCACATGAGAGGACATCTAACACAGCACATAGCATAATTCAGTGAAAATTAATTGGCTAGTACTATTTTCTTACAAAATGAAAAATAAACAGGTGATAGGGGTTTTGTTTTAAACATAAGATATTCATCTTTGGCTTGAAGACATGTTTATCAAAAAGCAAGGCTTAATTGAAAATACAGAACAAGTCGCAATGAAATTTTCGCATTAAAATATATCTTTTCTTTGCTGTAATTTTTGCTTAAAATATATTGGGATTGCTTTTTTGTGATAGGGACAAGCCACCAAGGGGTCACGTGATTAAGACAGTGGATGTTAAGTGAATGAGATGCTGCCTACAGTATAATCACCAGGTAGCAGCAGGAGGAGAAGCAGTCACACTGTATAATTACAGTTTCCCTCTGAATGTAACAGTATCAACATCAATGAAAATAATGGATTCCAGACTGAATAGACAATGCCGTTCATTTTGCAAATATTGAATAATATATATTGTGACATAAACACTTATTAATTCTATAAGAATAAAAGAAAACATAGTATTTCTGAGAATACTCATTTAAGCCTCTTCATAGGAGCCTCACCCAATTATAAACAGGAAAAGAAAATACTCATGAGCACAGCAGTGTATGGAGTGCTTTTGTTGTTATTATTAAGATGTATTTAAGGACTCTGCTCCCCAGTGTTCTTATGCAGGGTGGGGGAATCAGCCCACAAAGGCAGACTCTGCTAAGTGGATGGTGGTACTTGAGATTGTGGGGGAACATACTAAAATGCAAATACAAAGCATGTCAGGTGATAAATGAAGTGGGGACAAACGAAGGAAAGTCAGGCACACAGAGAGTGTTAGGAACAGAGATCTCTTGTGTGTGTATCACCTGAGACCGGAAAGTGGCATAGGATCCAGTCATATGATCACTCAAGGGTAGAACATTCTGGGCTCACTGAAGAGCATGTAGGGTGAACCGGTTCTTCAACTATTGGTTCATTAACTTGCTATTTCCTTTCTCCATAACTAGATGTAATCACCAACAGGGATCTAGAATTAGTGTATTCTGTAACTGTGTCCCCTCATTAGTTCCCTCACATCTCTAGGGGACTGCTTAGTAGACAGAGACTCTATTCCCATGTTAGAAAGATTGCAAAAATAGTATTCAAAATTACAGGTTTGTCCTAACATTAAATTTGTATTTAATAGTTTCACCACATGACATAGTGTTAACCAGAGGCTTGGTTGCTTTTTCACGAGAGCCTAAGTTGTCACTGAAATAGAAAGAACAGGAAAAGTTTGGGAGAGAGGGCAATAAGTTAAAGTAGCCAGCATATTTTCATAGAAAAAAATGTTCCAGTAAACCTTACCAAAAGTGCAATTTTTTTATTTGATATTATTTAAATCCTACAGGTCATTGCTGAACGGGTCAGTGACATGAAGGCAAAGGAGGACTGGACAAGTGCTGGCACTGGTTGTGAACCCTCCAAAAGTAAGCGCAAGGCCTTTCTTGACTTGCTTTTGAGTGTGACTGATGAGGACGGAAACAGGTTAAGCCATGAAGACATCCGAGAGGAAGTTGACACCTTCATGTTTGAGGTAATTTTTGTTGCTAGGGAATTTTCATTATTGAATCATTTCACAGCCCAGGGTTTTACTGTGGTGGAGACACCTGCTTAGCACGCTCAAGAACTAGGTTCTATCCCTAGCACCACAACAACAAACAAGCAAAAAAAAAAAAAAAAAAAAAGTGAGGGGAGTGGCTACAGAGATGACTCAGATGGCTGTTCTTCCAGAGGACCCTGGTTCAAGTCCCAGCACTCACATGGCAGTTCATCACTGTCTGTAACTCCAGTTTCATGGGCTATGGTACCCTCACACAGACATACATGTAGGAAAATCGCCAATGCATATAACAATAAAAATTTAAAGGCAAAACCAAAAACAAAACAGCAACACCAAAAAAGCAACTCCACAGATAGGGAACCATGGAGATGACTAGACTAGCAAAAGTGTTTGCTATGGAGCTTGATGACCTGAGTTGAATCCCTGCAACCAACATGGGAGAAGGAGAACTCTAACTCCTACAAGTTATTCTTTGATTTCCACACATGTGCCCTGCCATAAACCACACACACACACACACACACACACACACACACACACACACACACACACACACACACAATTTAAAACACTCCCAGTTTCAATGATCACTAGAATCACAAGCATAGATTTTAAAAATCAAACACTAAAGCAGCTTAGTATAACTGGAAAAATTTAATATCATCTGAAATTATAAAATTTAAGAAAGGGATGATGATAGAAACATTTTTTTTGCTAAGAAAATTTAAGGGCCTGAAGACTTTCCCCAAGAAGACACAAAACCCCATGTTGTCCTCAGTTCCCTATGATGCTTCTTGCTTCTCTTAACCTCCCCAAACCGGTCCATTTCACTCCTTTTAAATTCTGGCGCTTACTGATGTGAGTTGCTTTAGACCAAGAGAATCTAACCAGTTTGTGATTCTAATGGGATTTCTGGGATTTTAGTATTTCTTAAAAACACTTCTTGCAAAAATGCTTTAAATATCATATGAATATTACCAAGAGTGGAGCTTTCTGCCTGTGTGTTGCAAAAATTAAAGTTTTAGAAAGTCCTAAGATGTAGCCACAGCCTCTGAGTGGAGGGAAGGGAAACCGTGCATGGACTTCCAGAGGGTCCTAGAGTGCTGAGCATCCACTTGCATTGGCTGCTCTGCCTCCAGTCCTCTGCCCATACTACTTATTTTGTTGAAACGTTTATTTCATTTTTAACTGGGAAATAACCATTGTTTATGGTTCTGGAGTCCAATGTGATGCTTTGATACAGGTGTGCATTAGGAAATGTGCACATCATGTCAATTAACAAAGCCATCACCTTCACATATGTACCTGACTCTGGAGTGAGGACATGCAAAATTCACTCTTTTTTATTTTTATTTTTTTCCTTTTTTATTAGAAGGAAAATTATTTTACATGTCAATCCCAGGTCCCTCTCCCTCCCCTCCTCCCCTGACCCTCCCCCCAACTAATGCCCCACCTATCCCATACCCTTTCTGCTCCCTAGAGAGGGTGAGGCCTTCCATAGGAGGTCTTCAAAGTCTGTCATATTCTTTGGGATAGGGCCTAGTCCAAACTCCTCGTGTCTAGGCTCAGGGAGTATCCCTCCATGTGGGATGGGCTCCTAAAGTCCATTCCTATGGTAGCAATAAGTACTGATCCACTACAAGAGGCCCCATAGATTTCTAAGTTCTCCTCACTGACACCCACATTCAGGGGTTCTGGATCTGTCTGGGGGACCAACAGTTTTCTCCTGTTCAGGTCAGCTGTTTCTGTGGGTTTCACCAGCCTGGTATGGACCCCTTTGCTTATCAGTCCTCCTTCTCTGCATCTGGATTTCAGTTCAGTTCAAGGTTGAGCTGTCGGTGTCTGCTTCTACTTCTGCCAGCTGCTAGATGAAGGTTATACGATGGCAAATGAATTAGTCATCAATCTCATTATCAGGAGAGGGCATTTAAGGTAGCCTCTCCTCTATTGCTTAGATTGTTAGTTGGTGTCATCTTTGTAGTTCTCCAGACATTTCCCTAGTGCCTGATTTCTCTTTGAATTTATAATGTCTCCCCTTATTATATTGTCTCTTAACTTGCTCTCTTCTGATCTTCCCTCAACTCAACCTCCCTGTCCCATCATGTCTTCCTCATCTCTCCTCTTCTCCCCTTCTCATTGTCCTAGTTCCCTCTCCCCTCCCCCCATGCTCCCTTTCCCCTTCTCCAAGGGACCATATATGTCTCTCTTAGGGTCCTCCTTGTTTTCCAGCCTCTCCAGCACCCTGGGCTGCAGGCTAGCAATCCTTTACTCTATGTCTAAAATTCACATATGAGTGAGTACATACAATGCCTGTCTTTTTGTGACTGGGTTACCTCCCTCAGAATGGTTTCTTCTAGTTCCATCCATTTGCCTGTGAATTTCAAGATTCCATTGCTTCCCCCCCGCCACTGAGTAGTACTCCATTGTGTAAATGTACCACATTTTCTCTATTCGTTCTTCAGTTGAGGTGCATTTAGGTTGTTTCCAGCTTCTGGCTATTACAAATAATGCTGCTATGGACATAGTTGAACAGATGGGATGCAGGGTTGATTCAACATTCAAAAATCTATCAATGTAATCCACCATATAAACCAACTGAAGAGGAAAAACCACATGATCATCTCACCAGATGCTGAAAAATCCTTTGACAAAATCCAACATCCCTTCATGATAAAGGTCTTGGAGAGATCAGGAATAACAGTAACATAGCTGAACATAATAAAAACAATATACAGTAAGCCAACAGCCAACATCAAACTAAATAGAGAGAGACTCAAAGCTATTCCTCTAAAATCAGGAACAAGACAAGGCTGTCAATTCTCTCCATATTTCTTCAAAATTGTCCTTGAAGTTCTAGCTAGAGCAATAAAACAACAAAAGGAGATCAAGGGGATACAAATTGGAAAGGAAGAACTCAAGCTTTCACTGTTTGCAGATGATATGAAAGTCTGCATAAGTGAACCGAAAAACTACCAGGGAAATCCTACAGCTGATAAACACCTTCAGCCAAGTGGCAGGATACAAGATTAACTCAAAATTCACTCTTTAGAGCTATACAACACATTGTAACTAATTATAGCCCACCAAGATAGATCATGTGTGATAGATCATGACAAGTCACTGCTTACACCTGAGAGTTTGTGCCTTTTGAGGAACTCTCCTTCCTTTCTTCCCCAGCCACCAGCCACAGCCTCTGGTAACTGTCATTCCACTCTGAATGCCTATGAGTTAAACTATTTTTAGTTCCTCCATGTTAGTGAGATCATGTGTTATTTTTCTTTTTGTCCTGACTTATTTTACTTCCCATAATGCCCCTGGAGTCATCTATGTTATCACAGATAACAGGATTTCCTAATGTTTAAAAAGAGAATGCATACTATTTTATTATGCATGCCCTACAGTTTTAATATCCAATCACCTGTTCATGAGCAGCCCTGCTGTGCGTTCTCAGAAAATAGGCAAACCAATCCTAAAATTTATATAAAACCAGAAAAGATACCGAAAAACCAAAAGAATCTTGAGCCAAAAGGAATAAAAGAGTCATATTGCTTATTTTGAAATTGCACTACAAAGCTATAGTAATCAAAACAGCATGGTTATGGCATAAAAGCATACATATAGACCAGTGGGGTAGATGAGTCAGAAAATAATTATGCATTTATAATATCTGATATTTGTCAGGGGTGCTGAGAATACACAGTGGGAAGAATCTATATGGGTCAGAGTCTGGTAAACTAGATAGCCATATGCAGGAGGATAAAAAGTTAACCTTTATCCCACCCTTTAAACAAGAATTAACTCAAAATGAACTAAAGAGGTAACTGCAAGACATGAAACTGTAAAGCTAATAAGAAAAAATAGGGGGAAAGCTCCCTAAAGCTTGGTCTAGGAACCTATTTCTTGAAGATGACTTCCAAAAAAATGCAGGCAACAAAAGAAAAAATATGCAGATAGGATTGCCTCACCCATTCATCTCTAGAGAAGGGCTCTACCATGTAAGAGAGTACAGATGTACTAAGCGTATGAAGACCTGGGCTCTCATTCTGTGCCAATGAACTAAATTAAACGGCTCTGGCTAATCTAGCTCTAATTAGTTTCCCTGTGTTGCAAATAGAGACCTAGACTGAATCAGTGGTTTTAAATCCCCACTTCTTCGGCCAGGGACAGGGAAGGTCAGTGGTAGATTATTTGCCTAGTATGTGTGAGGCTATGGTTCAATCCCCAATAAAACAGCTATTTTTTTTATCTGAATTACAAACAAGATTGAGTTACATGACAATCCCAGTTCCCTTTTCCCTCCCTTCCTCCTCTACAACCCCAACTAAAACCCTACCTATCCCATATCCTTTCTTCTAATCTACCCC